GAATTTACTGATGAGAACAACCGGTCCCATCATTTAACCTGGACTTCAGTGTTACAGTGACCTAAGAGGTTAAAAAACAGAGAACTTACTTTTGGTTGCAAGAACATACTCATTTCCTGAAAACCTTCGTAAGCCATCCTGGTGAAAATCAAGGAAACAAGAGAAAGTATGGTTATAGCTCTTCTTTCCACCTTAGAAAAGCTAGGTGGTCAGCCCCACAGGATAATCCAGCCCACTACAAAGCTGCCCACTCCAGCAGGCTGAATACTGTGGCCAGCCCCAAGTTCAATCACTTCCTGGGTGCTGGGCTCTTCTCCTGGAACCTAGGCTCAGGCAGGGTTGATACCAATGAGGTGACCGGCATGCCTGCCCCATTCCAAGACCAACTAATGCTCTAGTGACAGTCTCCTTCCGCCCTCTCCAAACTCTGCAGTCTCTAGAACATTTCTTTCTCACCTTTTTTGGGGGGCAGGTTGGGGAACATTTAGAGATAGAGTCTCTCTGAGTAACAGTCCTGGCTGTCCTAGAACTCGCTCTGTAGACCAGGGTGGCCTCAAACCCACAGAGTTCCACCTGCCTCTGCTGGGATCAAAGGCGTGTGCCACTACCACCCTGGCCTTTGGCATCTTCTAGGTGGGTTCCTCCCCTTGTTCACTGAGTACCAGCCAATCATTCGGCCCCCTCTATGCTCCAACACCATAATCTCTTGTATCCACCCCCACCCCACCCTCCACATGCTCACCCAACCTACAGACCACAGTTAGAGGTTACCACTGGGAATCACCCTACCTTCTAGAATTGACTGTCCAAAACTTACTTTTTTGAAATCTAGTGACTTCAGATAGTGGGAATTGGGAGGGAGCAAATTTTGTTTCTCACTGAGACAGCTGGCAGAACATTGGTATAGTATAGTTTGTCTTCCTCGTGGAAGCTCTGCTCTGGATGGGCTGCAGCGTTGGTGTCCAGGGCTCCTCAAGAGTCTGAGAGACACACCCCTAAGGCCTTCTTTCCTACAAAGTTATCCAAAGGCTGTGGGATGCTTTGGCGGTGAAACCATGCCCTGCACCCTGGCACTTTTTTAAACATATAAGCAGGAGAGAGTTTTGTTTTGCAATTTGTCATGTAGCTTTCGGTTTAAGGTGTGATGTTCTGTTTGTTTTGTTGTTCTCTTTTTGGTGCTGGGGATCGAACTCAAGCATTCTACCACCAAGGGACACTCCTATCACGACTATGAAACTTGGATGGCTGTTCTTTTTCTCAGCTTTTAAAATCTTTAAGATAAGCTGGGTGTTGTTGTGGGACAATCTTTTTGTACACTGTGAAGATGTGTCTTTGCCAAGGCATCTTCTGATTGGTTTAATAAAGAGCTGAATGGCCAATAGCTAGGCAGGAGAGAATAGGCAGGACTTCCGGGGAGAGAGAGAACTCAGGATGAATCTAGGCGTGCTGGAGAAGCCAGAGAAACACGGAGGGAGTCGGAGGTACAAATGGAGGATAGGAAACAGCCATGTGGCAGAAAGTAGATTAATAGAAATGGGTTAAGTTATAAGGGCTGGTTGAGAACAAGCTTAAGCTAAGGCCAAGCTTTCATAATTAATAATAAGTCTCCATGTCATTATTTGGGGGCTGGTGGTCCCAAAAGAAAGTCCAACAATACCCTTAATCTCAACACTCCAGAAGCAGAAACAGGCAGCTTGCCATGAGTTCAAGGACAGCCTGGTCTACCTAGCAAATTCCAGGCCAGCAAGGACTATATAGTGAGACTTTGCCTCAAAATAAAACAACAACAAAACCATAATAAACAGACAAACAAACAAACAAACCAAAAAACCCTTTAATACAACTGAAAATGTCTTCTTTAAATAAACGACTTGTAAAACCCTAAGTGACACTGGAAAACAGATCAACATCATCTCTCTTCTGCTCCAAGCTGAGGATTCCCTGCGAGGTAAGCAGCAGGCACCTTAGTCCAAGCATAGCTAAAGAGAAACCATGAAGGAGTCATGGCCTCTGCTGTGCCCTACACAGATGCCCTGCTTGGCTTCTAGAGCCCTGTCCAGATAAGCTCTGAGAAAGCAAACAGGGACAGACAGCAGGAGCCTGGGCAAATCAACTCACAGATATTAATCCCCCCACGAGGTCGGCGGCGTGAGGGTCATCCTCAGCATTAAACTGTGGTGAATATAACTCAGTGGTTCTTAGAATCTCCAGCACACGGTTCAAGGCTTCTGTCACAGGCATAGGACTGTTTTCCTGGGCAGTGTTGATAATATTGATTATCTACAGCATGGGAAGAAAGACATGCGTTTGTAACCTTACAGACACCAGGGGGCAGTCAAGAGTCAAGCCGCGAACAGTCGCCATCCTTCAGAGGAGACATCACACAGCTGAAGAGCACCCTTCTTCCCGCAGGTCCCCGCTGTTGGCCAGGGAAGCAATTCACTGGGAGCATCAGGGGCTTGCACACTCCGTGGAGACCAACCTTGGTGATGGGTGCTTCGATCATCATAGAGTGTATCCGGGCCAGAGAGGAGTGTCTTCTCTGATTGCTAACTGTGGAGAAAGAGTGAGCAATCAGGTGTGCTGACCTAGACATCTGTCTAGCCACCGAGGGCTTTGTGCCCTCCCTTCCTGGGCATCAGTGTGCGCAGCGGCACACTAAAGGCACTGGTGTGACTGCACACTGACTGAGCTTTCCTCCTTTCCTCACAAGACAAACCTGGGCTCTGCGCTACCAGCTCCGCTTCCTTCAGCTCTAGGTGCTAGGATGCACACATGACCCTAGGATGTACATACGACCCCATGGCCTGAACGCCTGATGTCATAGGTCACAGAGAAGACAGAGGGAACAATTTAGCAAGTCACAGCCAAACAACCTTTTCTTGTGTCTACAACAATAAGGCTTTAGTTACACCTCTTGCTGCTCTCCAGGGGTTGGGATGTTCTGGAAGACAGCTCCATATACCCACTGTTCCGTATAAGGTGGGAGCCACGGCTTGAGCTTTACCACTTACCATTTAAATTAATTAAATCAATTTCTGGTTCAAATTTCCAAGTTTCTCTCTAGTGCTGTCCTCTAGTGTGTTTAATCTGGGCTAACAACCTTACAACTAGGTTTTTGTTGTTTGTGTCCAGACATGGCTCTTCCAGGATGAGGGAAGCCTGGACAATGCACAGGCAGGAAAGAATGTGTCCCGAGTCCTGTGACTCTGTGAACACCCACCGTTAGGATTACCAAAGGCCAGAAAGGGTGAGACATTGTCCAGCAAGATGATGCCTCAGCCTCAACTTACTATCGAAGGAACTAAGGCCTAAGGAGAGATACTGTCTAGGGTTAACCAGGCCAGGAAGCCTCAAACGTCCTCAGTTCAGGGGACCAACGAAACTCAACTCTAATTTTAGTGATTAGCACATGACTGCCAACTTTACACTTTATACAATAAAGTCACTAAACAAAATCCCCACTATCTCATTACAGTTAGAAAAGGATTTGCTCTTATTTAGGAATAGAATGAAAGTGCTTATCAAAATCAGAATAGAGGGCAGCTGGGCAGCATGCGCTGTACTGTTGAAAATTTCTAAGGTAGATTTTTAAGGATGTGAAGTAAAACATTTGCTAATTAGCTCAATTTAGTCATTTCACAATGTATACATATTCTAAAATAGCATGTTGTCTAAGATACATATACACAATTCTAAAATTTGTCAACTAAAAGAAATTTTTATTTTAAAAATAATTTGAGAAAATCAAATAGCCTAAATGCAATGAGGTAAAAATAAACAAGATGCAAACATTTCCATGTGTCACAGAGTGGCTGAAGACTTTGCAAATACACTCACTATCTACTCCTAGGCTCAACAGGTAAGTCTACCTCAGTTTCTGAGTAAAAAGTCAACATACTAAACCCCACTGCACTTCTCTGTACTAATGCCACATAATTAGAAGGGGAGGCAAACACACTGTTAAAATACCTCAAGAGTTCTCCCTACAGGAGGCTCACAGGCCTACCCCTAGCAGAGGAGCTACTGCCTGTTAATGACTCCTTGGGAGGGAAAATTGTTTTCTTCAGGAATGTGGCCCCTGGTAGGCTGCCTATGCTTCAGTGATTAGCCCTATGCCCACGTAGACACAGGCACTACTGGATGAACACGGTGGGTTAGTTAGAAGGGGGAAAGGAGGACATGAAGTTGGGGAAGGGGCATGGTGACTGCATTAAAAACAAACAAACCATATTGGTCAGCATGCTTCTGCATGGTCTTAAATTTTTATTTCAGTTGAGCAAGCTGGCACACACCTGGGATCCTAGCACTGGGAGATGGAGACAGAAGCATCAGGAGTTCAAGGGTCTTCCTGGACTATACAGGGTGTTTGAAGCCAGCCTGGGCTATATGAAATTCTGTTTAAAAATAATTATATTTCAGCCATGCCTGGCATGGCGACACATGCCTTTAATCCCAGCACTGAGGAAGGGGCCAGTTTGGTTGACATAGTGAGGTCCAGGACTACTAGGGCTATATTGAAAAACAAAAACAAACAAAAATTATATTTCAATCTAAACTTAAATAATATTTTCTTAGTGAGAGTTTTACAATCTCCAAATTAAGCTTGCCACTTCCAAAGGGTAAGTTTCCATAGTAAACTGCAAACTAATCTATCCTTCAGAGTTACCAAATGTGTGTGTGTGACTCATATCATGATAGTAGATTAACAGACAAGCCGACTGCGGAGAGTTTAGAAAATCACATAGAATAGCTAGTACCTAGTTCTTTGATTTTTCCTTATTCTCGACTCATTTCCAAGGCTCACAATGGAGTCTACCTGTCCCAGAAGGACACGGTGCATGGTAACCAGGAAAGGAAACTGCAGGCTCGGGAGTCCTGTGCTCGAGGCCTACACCCTCCAGTCTGCCACTCACCTTCACTCGCTTTAGAGGAAGCGGCATTGGCGTCTATGGAAATTTTCCGCCTCTCTTTATGTTTGCCTGCCTGATTATCTGTGGAAACAAAGTGTCAATCACTTCTTTACAGAGATGTTAGTGATATACCAGCAAAAGACATCAGTGAAATCTTAGGAGTCCACAAGGAAAAGGACTTGAACACCTTTTGAGACACCACAGAACCCCACACTGTGCACAGGAACAAACCACACACACACACCTTGGTTTGAGGGGCTTCATTTTCTCAGAGCTTTACCAAGTTCAAAGAAAGAAAACAACCACAAGAAATGACCCCCGCAGAGGTTCTCCATTGTAGTGAAGTGAAACAGAGGGATTTTATCCTCATTTACCCTGTCTCAAAGAGAAAACAACAACAAAAGGTATTTTCTTTGCCACATCCTAGGAGAACATTCTTCTCTTTCCTAAGGTCATATGTGGAGCAAGTTTGGGGTACAGTATGAGGATAATTTGCCTTTCTCCCCAATTCCCCTTTTCAGTAAAAGATGCCACTGCTATTCTAGGCTCCAAATAACAGTTCCATGACTCCTCTCCAGCCCTTGCTCCATTTGTTCACTGACAAAGTGAACCTAACCTTCCTGCCTGCCCCTCCGTGTACCTGTGGGTGCCTAGTGTGGTGCTGATGATTAGTGCACAACAATTTATGTCCCCATCTCACACAAAGGCAACCAGGGAGCAACCAGTAGGTGAGTGTGTGAGTGGCAGAGCAGGCCCTGAGCCCACCCTTCCCAGGAGGTGGTCGAGCGACTCTGCCTTGCTCGCTCCTCTTACCTGATTCTTCTCCTCTGCCCAAGGCACGGTCCCTAGTGCAGGCCCCAAGTGCTCCTCTGCACCATAGGGAAGGTTCTTCACCTGGTTTTGTTCTGTGGTGCTGGGAATGGAACTTATGGCCTTGAGTAAGCTAGGTGAGCACTCTACCGCTGAGTTACGTTCAGAGCTCTGCTCTTAGCTTCCTGACCCACCGCGGCCAGAATCCTCTCTGTGTGCACATGTGTGACAAGGATGACCTCCTTGTTGCTGACATCTTGCTGGACACAAGGGAGTCCTCTTTCTGGCCACTTCTGTTTGTAGAAACCACACTCCCTGGTTCTCTGCCCACCTCACTCCTCCTTCCGTCCTTTCGTGCTTCCCTCTTCCTCGGCCCCTGGCAGTTTCAAAGGCTGGCTTCCAAAGGTTCTAGCCTCACTCCTTTCTCTTTGAAGCAAACACAACCTCCTTCAAAAAACCCTCATTGCTTCCTGCAGCTCTATCTAATTTCTATGTAGCCATTTTTCCCCATCCTCTCCTGACTTCCAGACTTACATCTTGATGGGTCATTGGCCATCTCCGTTTGGCTACTTTTCAGCTATTGCAAATTAACTCATCCAAAATGAACTTATCCTTTCTAACTCTGCTGAACCCCCAGTCACTAGACAGGACCTACCCACTTGACCAATTTCCTACAGGCAGCCAACAGAGCCTTCTACACCATCTCATCAGATCCTTCCTAATCATAATGCATCCCTGGCTGATCAGTCCTCAGGGTCAACTTCCAACTCCCAAGGGTGGCACTCAGACCCCCAAGAAGTCTTTATATTTTATTGGTTCATGCCCCTCCAGAAACCTCTACACCCTGCTACAAACTACTTACTTAAGAATGCCCATTTCTCATGTTGCCTCCTTTCCCTAGTTAACTCTGCTTCTCTAGGAAGATGCAGTTTGGGTACCTTAAACTTCGGGAAACCTTCCCATATGTCTCCTCATCCCGTAAGTGTAGGCAACTAACTGGCTTTATTATTGTCTGTCAAGACAACTGTGAACAATCTGAGGGGCTGTCTTCTGTGGGTGGCCAGCAGCATATCAAGCACACAGCAGATGCTCAGTAAACACATGCCTGCTTTGCTTGACACTTGCATAATCCTGTGCACAAATAAAAGGACCGATGTGTGCAACCACTCCGACTCTAGCTTTGCCATTCAAAATCCTCCAGGAGGAGATTACCTCCCTGGCCTTCAAAGGTGTGGCCTGCCCACAACAGCCTGCCTTTCATTTCTCTCTGGTCTGGAGCTTGTCAGCCCAGCTGCTCTGCTCACACTTCGGGAGCAGCCCTGACATCTGCTCCTCTCATCTGAGGGGACACTACACTGGCTCAAGATGCTCACTCCTTCAAGTGGCAGGCACCTCCTCTCAACCACATGTGGTGAGGAGTGTCTTTCCTTTCTCAGGGCGTCACGATGACTCACGGTTACACAACTGTCTAGTGAGCTGGACTGTGAATTGTTCCTGTTCCCTTTCATCCACCCCGCAAATATTTCCCGAGCACTTGCCCTGTAACAACACCTAAGACTGGGGCTGTGGCTTAGATCCTGACTATCCCTCAAAGGCTCATGTGTTCAAAGACGGTCCCTCCCAATCAGGATGATGCTTTTGGTCCTATGAATGTCACATTCCTCCTTTGTCCCCTACATATTCCTTGAGGAATGGCTATGAGAGCTTAGGCAGCGGGGCACGGGGTCAAGGGATGCAGTGTGCCTTTAAGAGATGGAAACGAGTAAGAGGTCTTTAGGTCATCTTGGGTATCTTCTCAGGCTCTTTCCTTTCTCTTTATTTTGCTCTGGGCCAAGAAGCAGTGATCTCACTTTACCACACGCTCCTGCCATGTGTTGCCTCACCGTAAGCCTAAAGCAACAAGGCTAAATGATCATGGGCCAAAATCTCCAAAATGGTGAGCCAAAATAAATGAGCCCTTCTCTTATTATAAGTCAGATATTTCAGATATTCCCTTGCAGCATCAGGGATATGTCAATGGATATGTTAAAGTCATATCCTCAAAGGGAGGTGGTCTAGAACCAAGCAAAGCAGGGGAGCAGAATTATACTAATATTTTCAACTGAAGGGAAAGCAGACTATGGCAGAAAAGCACCATGAAATCAGGATGGGGCGGTGGCAAAGAGAGGGAGCAGGGCGCAAGGAGATCGAATTTCCACCGCAACACTTTCAAGTTACTTCATTTCTACATAAATCCTAGTTCCTCTGCTCCCAACAACCCCATCAGGAATTCTGCTCCCACTGTGTCCCTGTAGCCCTTTATAAGTGACTCAGGGACAATTTTCACCAAGCCAGTAGAGGTGGACCGTACAGGCCTGAACTGGGCCCAGCTCCCAGATGCAGCCTTTAGGGCACACCAGGGGGATCAGTGAGGAAATATGAGGGTCACATTCCTAAGAAACTGCAAGCCCTGAAGAAGCACCATGCCCAGGGGCTCACACAGTAGTGGGTGCTCAACAGGTAACACAGCACTCCGATAAGGTATCATGCCTATACATGGAAACAACTCTAAATAGGCCTCCATGACCATCTACAACTCTGCTCTTGGTTTCCTGTCCTAGAAAATGGGGTCCTTAAACTCTGCTCATCTCTTCAGAGACATTAGCATTTTTGTGGCTGGACAGGGCAATCCAGGGAATTCTGGAGAAGCAGTGTTGGGCAATGGAAGACACTGTCTCCAGTCAGCACCCTAATTGCAGGAAGAAACCCTTTGGCCTGGAAGCAGGAACTCCAGTCTGGATACGAGAAAGCTGAAGCCAGGTATCTTAGCCAACATGCCCACAGGTTCCTGTGCTGGGGCCTTGGCAGACTGCAGTGTGTGCCCTCAGGCCCTCAGCAGGACAGGCCTGTGAGAAGTGCCGACCTGCCAGCCCCAAGCTCCCTGGCTACCTCCAATCTCAGACAATGGTCCTTGCCACTCTTCCTGAGAAGGCTTTCTGTTTCTAGAGATACAAGAACCTCTGTATCTCTTCAGAGAACTGTGATGTGACATCTATAAGCAACAGTTCTGGCAGCCCATAAGAAGACCTGTGAAGTACTTGAGGACTTAGGCCCACCCTCTTCTGCCTAAACCAAAGCTTGTCATGTGACGGCAAGCCAGAACAATCAAAGTCTTTACTCCATCACTACAACCATTTTGTTGTAGTGAGGTATAGCATCATCTGAAAATTACACATAGGCTAAGAAAAATGTAACGTGTGTGAGGACCTTAGTACTTTTCTAGGCTCCCAGACATCTTTCTCTCGACTGGGGAGTTTCAGGACCTCCCTTTACAGAGGGAGGCCAGGGACTCCCTCTCTCCGCACCTAAGTAGCAGATGACCTAGGTCAAGTGAGCACCTTTTCAGAGCTGCCCTGGAGCAAGTGAAACAAGAAGCAAGGCCCCAAACCTGGATCTCGTCAGAGCCAGTGGTGCCCTGCTATGCTGTTCCCATGGCATGCCCAGATCAGAGGGGACAGCTGCCCAGCGTCCCTTGGCTCCTGACTCTGGCCCAATCTTAAAGTGCTCTATTTCCTTCCAATAAGCCCTACTTCTGCTTGAAGACTGACTTCTGCTGTCCATGGCCTGATAGCCCCACCTGCTCCACTGAGGCGAAACGGCCCCCAGACCTTCAGGGAGCTGCCCAGGGATGCACAGATTAGGCAGGTGGCTCATCTGGGTGACAGCGGCAGCCCCTAAGGGAGCATTCATCAATACAGGTACAAATGGTGCAGCGCCGTGACGCTGGGTGGATTCCTACCTTGCCTGTACTCTGACCATCACTGATGGCCACCCAAGCCCCGCTCATTCATTTCCTAGCTGCCTGGCTCTACGCTGTCATTTAACTTCCTTGACTCTTGTTTTTTCTTCTGTAATAAAGGAGTGTTAATAACGGTCATGTCCACTTTGCAGGGCTATTCTGAAGAACTAAAACCAACAAAATACCACGAACAAAATCCCCAGCAACGTGCTCTGTGGACTTGCTGCACAGAGCTCCGCCATGGCAGGCTGGCCCTGTCGGCCACTTCTGTCCTCACTCCACAGTTCCCTGCAGCGTGGCTTTCCTCACTCCCCACTGAGCCTGAGCGCCGACAGCTCTCAGTAGCTCTCAAATGTAAGTCAGAGTCCTGGCATTCCTGCCCAAGGGCCCCATGTCCCGCACCCTCTGGGCCGCCCAGCCCTGACCAGGCAGCACGTTTCCCCGCCCCCTCCGCTGCTGCGGTCCACTCTCCTCCCCGCTTTGACTCCCTTCTCTGCCTGACTTCCTCCTCTTCTCTCAGGGGCTCACTAGGGATCTGCCTCACACGTCCACTGTCATTCTCTTCCATGGCAACCGTGACGTTCCTACTTGCACACACACCCCGGGCTCCATCTCAGCAGTTCCACGCCATCATCACGTGCTGGTGCTTTTCTGGTCAGAAACATCTGCATCTCAAGTTCCTACCTCTTTGAAGAGCCAGTGCCCGGCGGATGTTTACTATAAATCTGTACAGCAATAAACAGGACCACACAGGTAAGCGGTCCATATTCAGCTTCCCCAGGCCCGACCACACCCGACGTCTCCAGGCTTCAGTCTTCTTCCCAGTCCTATCCCATCGGTTTGCTCCCGCCCCCCTTCTTCCCGTCATCTCATTTTCCTGGCCAGTGTTTCCTCTCCTCTCGGTCACAATGTGACCAACCCATCCTTCCATGTGAATGGTTTCGACACAATATAAGAACTTCTTAGAGCTCAAGTGTAATATCCCCTACTCCGACACCCTCAGAGACTCCAACCACCTATGAATAAAAGCCCGATTTCCTACCTGGCCTTTAGGACTATGATTAATTCCAACTCCTTATCCTGACTTACTCTGTCAGTCTACACACTCCTCCTTCTGGAACACATGCTATGTTTTCCCTCTTCTGCATGCCTGAAGGAGAGCCCCCATAGTCCATCCCCTTATCTGTCTGTGAGGGCAGAAGCAGGAGCAGCTGGCAAAGCCATGACTTAGGTTTGAAGGAAATAAGCACTCCCAGCCAGGGAAAAAGGCCTTTGCGGCAGGACAAATGGCGTCTGAAGAATAATCAGAAGACAGGAGACGAGGCAAGTCTGACAGGCCACACCCCTACCTGCAGGATGGCGGCGACATCTGTCAAGACAGATGAAGATGACCCTGCTAAAGTACTTCGGTATCACTCAACCCTGTCTGCCTCTTAAAGCTCAGTTCTGGTTATAAAATCATACTTCATTCAACATGTATGCACACGAGTCATGCACTGGATCTATCAGTTCTCCCCACACAGGCCAGCACCCAGCCCAGGCACTTGTCAAGATGCCCACAGCACTCAAATCCTTGACCTCAAAGCACGCCGGGTAGTGTCGGCACTAGGAGAACACGGTCCTGTACAAACACCACTGTACAAAGCAGGCCCATCAAAGAATGGATCTGTGAGTTTCCCCAAACACTCAACCTTAAGAACGAATATACGGCCTCATACCTGTTTGACTGTTCATCTGCACAGACTCAGTTACTGTCTCAACCTAAAAAGAAATTTTACAAGCCATTAGCTTTGATCACCTAAGCACCCTGCTTGAAATGCAGGTCTGGGGCACCTTACCTACCTTATCGTTGCCATTGCACACCCTGATAATGGACACATAGTGTCTGATTTTCCTGTAAACAGAAAACAATGCATTAGTTTTCTCCTGACTCTAATTTGGTATAAACAGTTAATTTTTCATTATGAAATGAATACTTCCCTTTAGCAATATATAAAATGCTTTGAGAGCATTTTTTTCTTCTAATTTTTGTGTGTTTGTGTGTGTGGGTAGGTGTCCCAAGGCCACCAATAGATGAACAGAACTTTACAAACATCCTCTTACGACTGTGGAAAAAAGAAGTGACTTGCCTAGTTATAACAACAGACAATACATGATAGATACATATGCTTCTAACAGTGTACTGCACGTTAGCCTTTGGCTCCCTAATGCCGTCTTGACAAGTGTTAATACCGATGCTCTGAGTTCCAGCAGGCTGCTTACAGCCACTCATGGAGACAGCCACAGGCCACCACAGGCTGAGGTTCCTGCTAGCCTCGGTGAGCGAACGTCTAAAACAAAGCGACGAGGGCTGAGCACAGAAGCTGCTGACTTGTCCATTTATTTATTGTTCCCTCAGTTTTTCACCCCACCCCCATAATCAAATCCTTATATACTTATCACACACACACAAAAAAAACCTGGAGAGGACATAAAAGAGCAAAGAGTCCGAACAGAGAGCTCACACAGCTCTGCCTCCCTGAGGCAATCACCAACTGGCAGCAAAGTCTGCTGGCACGGCACGGCACGGCACGGCACGGCACGGCACGGCACGGCACGGCACGGCACACGAGGGCTGTGCGGTCGGTCGGCACTGAGGGCTGCACCAGGCACCATCATACATGGCAGCCCGGGCTGGGGCCAGAAACCAGACCTCTCTGCGACTCAGTTTCCACATGTGTAAAGTGGAGACACCGCTGTGTGCTGTGCTAACAAAACAGAGCTGCATTCAGAAAGAAATGAAACGGCATCTCCCACTAGCCAGGAGCCTGACTGGAGAGGGAAGTGCTTAGAGGACAGAGGTAGCTCCTGATACTGTGGGCCACGCTTCCTCCCTGACCTCCTTCCTTTCGTGAATGCATCATACACTGGGGCTGACTTCATACTCTGCATTTAACAGTATAGTAAGGTTTTTCCTTACAACTTAATTTTCCATGATCATCATTTAAGAAAGTGTATATTTTACTGTTGGGTATTCTATAATTCATACTCAGAATTTTCTAGAAACTTTCTCTATTATTTTGAATAGGTTCTGAGACAAGGCATCTAAAAATTTTAGGCTCTTGATATATATTTATGATTTACAATATATGTATGTGAGCACATGCATGCTTGCCTATGTGGCCATGTGTGGAGGCAGAGGCTGACATTGTGATGTCTTCCTCAATTGCCTCTCCTTATTATTATTATTATTATTAATTATTATTATTAAGACAGACTCTCTCACTGAACTTGGATCTCACCATTTCACAGCTAGACTGGCTAGCCAGCGAGACCCCAGGATGTCCACCCACCAATGATGGGGTTTCCGGCATGATGCCACACAAGCTGTGTGGGGGAGGGTTGCTAAGGATCTAAACTCAGATTCTCATGCTTGTACAGCAAGCACAATTCCCAGTGAGCCAGCTCTCCAGCCCTAACACATCTGCTGGCATTCAAAATATTTTTCCCTAACGTGACAGGCCTTTGCAAGAATAACTACTTACAGTTAGATAAAAAGCTTATAAACACAGAGGTAAACTGTGATTTGAATATAAACACTGAAGTCTTTTGTGAATCTACACAGCATAAAGAAGACTGCCTCAAGTCAGGTGGCCGGTCTTCAAGGAACCACCACCCTGGAAGGCCATGCTGAGACACCTGGCCCTGCTCTAAGCCTTTTCCACTTCTGTGAGCAGGCCTAAGTTTACTTAGGTATTCAAAGCAAATTCCAAACACGGACTGCTGATTGAAGTCCATTGTTGCCACTTACCCCCCCTGCCCAATGACAGGTATTATCTTCACATTTTGTTGTATGTTATCTCCATTTTTCTTTTGGGTATGGTAAACTCCTTGCCACTCCTATAAATAGAATGTAAACATCATTACACTTTGGGTTTAAAACATAAACCCAGGAACATTTTCCATTTTGGTTCCAATTCATTTAATCACCATGTAAGAACTTAGGATAAAAAATGATTCCAATTCAAAATGCAATTCAAGTAACCTGATATTCTTCCCCTCTCTCTCAAGTCCACTTGACAAAGGTCAAGTCACTTCAATGTAAGTGGTCACATGTTCCATGGTCATCTGCTGGCAAGAGAGAACCCCCTCACTCAACACATTAATGCCACCTCTCTAAACTCCTGCTGGCAGCAGTGAAGACGGGAATTAGCACTTTGCCTTGGTACATAGTGCAGGAGAAATCTCAGGACTAGGGCACAGAAGAGCAGTTTGTGGCCATTACTGTGGTAATATGGTACTGTGGCTGCCACTAGTTTGTTACTCTGAATGGCTTTAGTCCTTCTGGAATTGGGGGTTTTCAGTCCCTCTGTGGGGTGGGATGACCCAGCAGCTAGACTTGAGTTCAGGCAGCAGCAGAACAAGGTGAAGCTGAAAAGCATGAGGTTGTGATTTTAAGAGTTCACATGTACAGCCATGAATGCTTTCAACCAGAAAGGGCATGGCTGTGGCACACCTTCCTCTGGGGTGATGGGGGCAGCTAGGGATTTGTCATTATCATCTGACAAGTCACTCTGGTGCTAAGCTATGAAACCCTAAAACCCCTTGTTGGGACAACAACCAGATGAGCCCAGAATGTTCTTGGCCCTTCAGAACTCTCAGGACCCAGAGCTTTAAGATACTCAGGTAGCTATTGATTACTGGATGACATAATTCTGAAAACAATCATTTTTTAGGACCATGTCAGAAACAGCTGGTTCTGTCTGTTGAGTGCTTCAACAGAAGAACAGGTCACAAACAGCTCAGTTGTGAGTACAGCCAGCCCAGAGACAGGCTGTGCCCCAAACTAGCAAAGACTAAGCAGGGGTCCCCAAGCAAGAAGGCAGTCCTCATCTCCACAGCCCATGGGCTTACCCGGGAAGCAGACAGCTCTAAGAGCACTACCGAAGGCAATGTAGGACACTGGCTTGATGTTTGCACAACTACAGGAATATACTTAATCACTGGATATGGAGTTTGGTTGGCTCGATTGAGGTGGGTTCGCACTAGGCAGCTCTGGCTGGCCTGGGCCTGGCTACACAGACTAGGCTGGTCTCAAACTTGCAGTGACCCTCTTGCCTTGGCCTCCCAAGTGCTATGCATTATACACTTTAAATGAGTGAGTTGTATTGTGTGAGAATTACATCTCAACAGAAATGTTACATTATATGAAAAAAAAGAGAGCGAAAGAAACAGCAGGTCAATAGGATCCAGACACTAACTAGCACATTGAAAACCAGATTCAGTATATTCTTCTCTAGCTCTTTCTGAATCGACTCAGATAACTGACAGACCCAAGCCAAGGTCTACAGGCTGTGCCAGCACTACAGTCCCCAAAAGGAGCAGATGATCAAGCTAGTGACTTGGCTGGGGGAACAATGTTAAATCTAAGTTTTCCAGTCGCCAGTGTAAATAAAACAAATGTACTTAGCACAAACCATATTTACTAATCACAAATATAAAAACATTGAGTTATGTATCACTGTGAGTTTGAATTCCTGGGAAGAAACGTACTACCTTAGAACATAGTCACAGAGATTTATAGTTGGTAAGGCCGACACCCGGTGAGTTCAGTGGCCAGCCTGTTTGGGGTGCAGGTACTCTTGCATAGTCTGGTCCCCACATGAGCGCCCCACTGCACACAGGGAGACCCAGGCTTCCCTGCTGCTACCTAGCACACGCTGTATACCAGGCTGGGCTTCTATGGCTATTAATGTAGTCCCCTTTGGCAATCACTGTCATAAAATTAAGTCATTGTCATCCAGCTGTCCTGTCCCCAGGGCTGGCACAATGCTTACCCATGGTAAACAATCAAAGAACACATGAGGCCTTTGTTTACAGAGTGACTGAGGTCAACTACAGACTCCGCATCACCAGACTAAGCAATCTGAACACTATACTAAAGGAGCAACATGACAGAAAGCTATCTTACTAAGACTAGCCATGCACACTACAGGGTGGAGGGATTTGGCCGCCATAATTGCAGGAGTGTGAGGAAGTCCTGGAGCAGATCAGGGGCAAACAGCACACCCAAAGCAAGGGAGTTAGCAGCCAGCGGGATTGGTGATGGGCTTGAAGGAGGCAAAAGACAGTGGGAATCCGTTTATTCCAGGGATCTAGGACGAGGTAACTGTGAGGACAGCCTAGGGACAGGGACTGACTAGAAGACATACTGGGGTTTTTGTTCATGGAGGGTGAGAGGAAGATCACTGTCTGACAATTTCATTTCAAGTGACAGCAGGATATTGAGGGGCAAGAGCAAGGGGGTAAAGGTCAGAGTCCAGGTAATTTGTGGAGGAAACAGAAGGGAAGTGGAGTTTGTCAGCAAGGAAGGGGGAAGGATCACAGGAAATATGGAAGGTCAAAGGGTCCTGAGGCCACACATCAGCACTGACAGGCATCCGAATAGTCAACATTTATCCTGCATTGAGAGAGGGGTGGGTGGGTAGGTAGATAGACAGACAGACAGACAGACAGACGGACAGACAGATAGGCAGACAGACAGACAGACAGATAGATAGATATGTGTATGTGTGTGTGTGTGTGTGCGTGTGCATGTGTGTCCCAGGGGTAGGGCAACAAAAGGGGAAAGTCAAGATGTCTAGACAGGGAAAAGCCATGTAAAGCTTAGCAACCTGAAAGACAGAGATTATAAGCCCCCGCGAAGGGAGTTATAGGGAAGAAGAAAAAGGATACAAGGAGGTATACATATGAACCTAAAAAATCAAGTTAGCCTCTCTATTTACCCCAAAGAGAGCAAGAGATAGAAAGGTTGGTGGCGTGATAGGTGTCTACAATACTCTGCTTCAATAGCATGGGAATTTCTCCTCTGGCCAGCTGACCATTTTCTGAATCTTCTCTCCTCCTCCTCCACACTGGTACCCAGTGGACATTTGAGCTGTCCTTGCTGACCACAGCATGATGGCTCCACAAGGCCACTGACCCCTCCACTAGCTCTTCCCCTACAGAGACTGGGTCAGACAGACTATCTACCCTCTCACCTCAGTGAACCAACAGGTCACTGACAATGGGTAAAATTACCTTTTCACACTCCCTAAAAGCTCGGAAATGCCCTAAGCGGCCAGACTCCTTTCAGAAACAGAGTAGCAAATAGGCCAGTAACACTCGGCCTTTCTGGGTTTTGCTCATAATCATGCCAAGTCTCTAGAGAGGAGTCCTTGCTATTCTGATTTGAGGCTTTCTGCACAGGTCCCCAACAGTGTCAATCCTGCAGAATCGAAGTACTGTGTGCACCAGCCTGATACACTGACCGCATGCCCTGTTCCCACTGGCCTTCCTCAGTAAGAGGGATCCAGCATGCCTGGCAGGGGTTCAGACTAGCTGATATCCAACAATAAAACCACTGGCTTAAAAAAAGCCAGGCATGCAGGCATGCTGGTACACACCTTTAATCCCAGTATTGGGGAAGGAGAAGCTGGTGGATCTCTTGAGTTGAGGGCAGCCTAGTCTACAGAGAGAGACTCTATCTCAAAACAAAACAACAGAACCTCTGGCTCCAAGTATCACCAAAGGACAAAAATGACAGAACTGAACAGCTCTGGGAAAGCTCTGAAGAGAAAAATCATCTAAGGCAGTGCATCAGAGCAGAGGTCTCTGTCCATCTGTCTTTATCCCTCTCTCCTCAGAAGCCCCTCCACTCTAGTAAGACAAACAGCACATCTTAAAACTTGAAGGGAAGAGGGTTCAGGCAGTGCCTAGCTAACCCTGAGGCCTGAGTGTACTGCTGGGCCCTTGCCTGCTCTTTCTAGGTGGTTCTTCTGTTTTTCATTTGCTTACTTTGAGACAGGGTTCCTCTACACAGCCCTAGCTGTCCTGGAACTCACTCTGTAGACCAGGCTGGCCCCAAACTCACAGAGATGTGCCTGCCTGTGCCTCTGGTGTGTGGGGATTAAAGGTGAGTGCCACCACGCCCAGCTTCTGTGCTCCCAATTCAAGGCAATCTCTTGTTCTTGCAGCCACAGGAATGCACAAGAAACGGAGCTATTCCCTGTGCCTCCACCTGGTGCATGCCCCCGCCCCCAGCCGAGAGAGGTATAACTGTGCATGGCCCCTGCCTGCTGGCACTGGGGAAGAAGCACGGCTACTGCGGCCTCTGCAGCCAGCAGCACACCGCCACATTAACTGCCACACTAACCGCCACAGTAACCGTCACGTGTGAAAAGCAAAGGAGAGTTCAGCAAGAAAATGAAAGGTAACTGATCCGACTCTTCTTCTCATCACACCCGAAAGTCCGGCACTAGGGCAGTGTGGACAGGCCGCAGCAGAGGAGGTCTGGCTGGCTGCAGGGCCTCCTGTCTGCTCCTTTAGCACTGGGATCATACCACCTTTCACACTTCAACAGTGATCCCTTCTGTTTCCAGCTCTGAAAACAGGCTGTCTGAGGGAAGTGGTCTTGGTTTGATCCTCCTTCTAGGAAGAATTTAGCATGGTGCTTGGCACATAGCAGGTGTTTGAAAATTGCTCAGTGAATGACTGAGGGTGTGCTGCCTAACTGGCGACCCTTACCCAGAACCAGGTGCCAACATCTACCCCTTAAGAGATCAGTTATTAGAAACACCAACTTATTCACCCATCACTCCGATAAAAACAATGATTTTAAGGTCAATTCCAGTGACTCTGCTTACTGGCTAATCATATTGCATTCTTGGCTTCGGTTTCTGCATCTGTAAAGTGAGAATAACAGGGACTTCTGGGAAAAGGGTAGGGCTGAGGTCACCTGCTCCACAGGTGTCAATGAACACCAAGTCTTCCCTCTTACCTGGAGGTGATAACGGTCCTAACATCCACTCACCTTGCCTATGGTGATACATGAGTTTATGGCGTCAAGCAAGTCCCCTTTCTTCTCATTTACGGAGGTGATAACGGTCCTAACATCCACTCACCTTGCCTATGGTGATACACGAGTTTATGGCGTCAAGCAAGTCCCCTTTCTTCTCATTTATGGGCACTTGCGCTAACTCCTTCCCTATCAATTCTCCTGACTGATAACCCATTGTTGTTTCAAATGCAGGGTTTGCATACTGGAAAGAGACAAAAGAAAAAAGAATAAGTGAACTTAAAAGATGTTTTGAGCCGGGCGGTGGTGGCGCACGCCTTTAATCCCAGCACTTGGGAGGCAGAGCCAGGCGGATCTCTGTGAGTTCGAGGCCAGCCTGGGCTACCAAGTGAGTTCCAGGACAGGCGCAAAGCTACATAGAGAAACCCTGTCTCGAAAAACCAAAAAAAAAAAAAAAAAAAAAAAAAAAAAGATGTTTTGAAAAAATAACAGCCTTTCACATAAGTACCACCCGCTCGCAGCAGCCTGGGCTTCATCATCAATGTTCTAGAGCCACAAGAACTTCTGCTCAGATGGCACACGGCTGGGCTTCCTGCTGTGTCTAAGGCTCATTCCAGCTTCAGTGAAGACAAAGGAAGGCCCATTCTCAGGACAAACCCAGGCTGCCACCCCAGAGCTGCCCGGATGGTGCTACAGTGAACTAACGCACCAGGCTGGGCTGTCAAACACCCAGGCCCTGCCCCCTGGACCTCTGCAAGTCACCAGTGCTCACTGGACAGGGAGGACGAGAACACGCCTTTCTGGTTAACTCAAATGACTAGTGTGTGGAAAGCAGGCTGCAGACTAGGAAGTGTTTATAGATGAAATGTTTGACGGTTAAGTTTCAAATACAACGAAGACAAGGGAAAGTGTATTTGAACGCTGAGCATGTGTTGGGAGGACGATGAGACAGAAATGATAAAGCAGAAACGGGCAGTAGTAATCAAGACAGTGAGCACTTTACACACATCCACTCGGGAATCCTCAAACCCTATGAAAGGCACGTGGCTGCTGTTACTGTCTCTCCCGTTTGTCAGAGGAAGCAGATGCAGCTAGAGTAAGTAACTTGCCCAAAGAAGCACGGCTGAGGCAGACAGCCTGCGCCCTCAACTCCTGGCCTGTGTTGCCTCTTAGCACCAACTCCCAAAGTCACCACCAACAGCAAAAGAATAAGTCAGATTCAGTAATCCGAAATCAAAATGGAGTTCATTCCCAGACTAAAGGAATGTTTCCCCCAACAGCTGCGTCTTTTAGTAATAGCCATGCTATCTTTATAAACACCTATCTGTCTCTTACAGAACCCGCTTTGCTAATGATGGTAGTCTAGTCTGTTACTTTCTGCATTGAACTGTTTTTAGTAAGTTTCTGTAAATTTAACCTACCTCCAAAAACAGTGAGGAAAGATGGAAGCGTGTAGCAGGAATCTTAAAAGTTCTTATTAATAAAAACAAACTTGGAGTCAGGTATTGGGGTGAACGTTGAAAGATCAGAGAAACAGAATAAGCCACAGCTACCTCAGCTTGCCAGTTCCTCAGCTGATCCTGTTTTCTCAGACTGGAAGCCTCTGAGTTCTCATCCAGAATGAATCTCAGCTAAACTACTGCTCAAAAGCCTAAAAGCTTAACCAGGCAAAAGCTTCTAGTTTCTGGTCTTCACGCCTTATATATCTTTTTGTTTTCTGCTATCACTCCCTGGGATTAAAGGCGTAAGTCACCATGCCTGGCTGTTTCCAATGTGACCTTGAACTCACAGAGATCCAGAGGGATTTCTACCTCTGGAATGCTAGGATTAAAGGTGTGGGTGCCACCATTTTCTAGCCTTTGTATCTAGTGGCTGTTCTGTTCTTTGACCCCAGATAAGTTTATTAGGGTGCACAATATATTGGGGAACACAATACCACCACAGAAGCAGAGTGAAGCAAGCTTGTGTGTGGCCGACCGGCAGGCAGCACTCCTGTTGACAATCTCCTGGTTAAGCAAAAGCCACCGCCCCAGGAAGAAGAATGAGAGAAGACCAGGCATTTCTACATTTCTAAGTACCATAGGAATCGTTATCTTTTCTTATCTAGAGAGTTTATTTTAAATTACATATTTTGATTTTGCTCTTACAGTCATCTCAGGCGAAAAAAGTGGCCTCTTGTACTTCAAAAAGAAAAAAAAAAATCAAACTGTAAGGCTACCGTCCTAAAAATGAGAACAAACAAATTGAAGCTATAAGCATAAATTTCCAAAATAACAAACCTGTATAATGTGGTCTTCACTTGTAATTTCAATTGCTTCTTGACTTTTCTCTAATGCAGTGAATACTGAGTTACAAGCCCTTTATGGATAGAAACAAAAGGACTGATAAATGTATTTACAGTGATTGTAATTACTAAATCTCACACAATCTCGGGGTATTATAGCAGCTTATTGAAATGTCTTGTGTCTGGCAGATAGAGGCTAATGTGTGCTCAGAAAGAGGAAGGGGAAATACTTAGAACATAAAGAAGAACTTCCACAGCCCTAGTATTCAGGATCGTCACCCGCACACCAGGATGGTCACACACTAGTGGAGCTGTGGTACCCTGAGCCCCTGCCGAGAGTGTCCTTTCTCAACACTAAAGAACCTTCATAAGGACTAACTGAAAGAAGAGATTCAAGATTGCTGCACAGAGCCTGGAGAGGGGAGGTAGCCAGCCACGTGAAGGAGTTATTTTAAACAAATTATTTTCATGGTATTGGGGGTATCTGGGACGACCAGCTCTGTGGTCTGCTTTCTGCGCTTAGCCTGACTCTGAGCATATCCCCACCCTTCGTGTCTGAAATGCTTTCTTAATTATACAGGTAACAATGTTTAGACAAAAGTTAGAAAATACAAACAAGATAGCTTATTGCTCCACTTTAAGAATAAGATGGTAATAAACATTAGTGATACCCTCATACATTATTGGTAGGAATGTAAAATTGGTCCTGCTCCCATTTTGGAAAACAGTCTAGAAATTCTTCAAATGGTTAAACATGGGATCATCATATGATCCAGCTATATCCACTCTTTACTATGTACTTAATAAAAACGAAAACTTGTATGTAACAGTTGGCAAGTACAAACAGCCCAAATGTCCACCAGGGAAGAATGAATAAGTAAAATGTAATATATATAGATGCTGAAATATTATATAGACATAAAGACCAGTGAAGTCCTGATTATACGCTATGGTATAGATCTACCTTGAAAACATTATATTTAAATATAAGAAGTCAGTTACAGAGGACCATATACTGTGTAATTCCAATTTTTATATGAAATGTCTAAAATAGGCAAGTCCAGACATAGAAAGGAAAATAAGGTTGTGGGCCCGGGGTTAACGAAAATGTTCTAGAATTGTGGTGATGAGTGCATAACTCTGGGAATATGATAAACATCACTATGTACCTTAAATAGATAAATGATATGATATGTGAAGTATATCTCAATCAAGTTGTTAAAAAATAAACAAGATCAGAACATCTGAACTCAATGCTTAGACATATCCATGTTAGGTACTCTAAGGAGTCTCTTTCATGAACATATAGGTCAACATATATGTCTATAAAACAGTCATTGTTACAGTTCTACCACCTCCTTTTCTCACTGAATATATATCAGTAATTATAGTTCTCCATCACCACGTTTAATCACCATATAGTATTTTATTATAAGGTTACAAAAGAGATATAGTCAACAAACTCCCATGATAAGGCACACAGGCTGCTTCTAGGCTTTGTGTTAGATAAGCTCCCCTCCCCCAGCATAACCAGAAGGCCCGATGGCCTCTCAAGACTAAACAGACAGGTAACTGCCTGCTTATGCACTAGGTGCAAAGACAGTCATAATTGTAAACTTTAAAAGCTACTATGCTTTCACATTATTCTTGCTCAATAAAGCTGTTATTTAATAACAAACAGAAGCCTGTGAGATGGCTCCAGGGTAAAGGGCCTGCTGTTCAGCCAGACAACCTGAGTATGATCTCCAGGGCTCATATAATTAAAAAGAGGGAGCCAACTCCAAGTTGTCCTCTGACCTCCACATACACACTGTGCATGCCCACACCCATGTCCACAAACCCACAACTCCCAACACCCATGTCAGATAGCTCACAACTGCCTGTAACTCCAACTCCAGGGGAGTCTGATGCCTCTGGCTTCTGCAGACACCTGTACACATTCCACACCACCGCCACCACCCGCCGCCACCGCCGCCACCACCACCCCCCGCACAGACATAATTAAAAATAAAAATAAAACCCTAAAAAACAAAAGAGTGGCTGGTGAGGTAGCTCAGCTGGCAGAAAGTACTTGGGAGACAGAAGCAGGCAGAGATCTACACAGCCCACGCCTGGTCTACACAGTGAGTTCCAGGCCACCATCCAATCAAATAGTTTGCTTAATTTTGAGCATTTACGTGGCTCTACATTTAAGCTTTTAGTTTATTGGTGGCTATTTGGGGTAGGGAGGGAAACTGGGGTACATTAATTTCTTTTCCAACTAAGTAAGCCGTTGTCATGGTCCTATTCACAGAAACCTCACTTTTTCATGTTGATTGAACACCATGTTGACCAGGTCCCAGGCTTTAAATAGACTCTGGCCTGTTTCTAGACTTTACACGAGTTTGTGACTTAGCAGTGACAAGGCTGCTTCTTAGAACACGTCTCCCTCTACTTCACCACCTCTATCCCACATTCCCCCTTCCTGTCACAGTTTTTCTCTTTTCCTCTGTAATGCACATCTCCGTTGGCTGTCAGCTAGAACAAGGCATGATGGGAGATGAGAAGGGTGTAGAGCCTTAGACAGATGCAGGACAGTCTTGGGAGCCACATCTGGAGTCTGGACTTCACCTTGAACTTAGTGGAGTATTCAAGACGCAGAGGTTAATGGGAGTTACATGTTATTTCAGTGTGAAAAACAGACAAGAGGAAGTCAGGGCTAACTGTAGGGAGACTGACTCATGGATTCCATAATCCAGGCACAAAGCAGTGAGTGACCTTACTCTAAGAGGAAGGTAAGAGAAGCCATGAGGCAGGGGTGATGGGAGGCAGTGAGGAACAAGACCTGGGGGTGGGTAACGGAGCCCCAGGGTTTCAACGCAGGACTGTACGCTGGCACTACTGTGTCCACTATGCTAGGGCACCGAGGAGGAAAGTTGGAAGTCAGCTCCATTGGGGAGATGGGGAAAGAAAACAATTATGGTATTAGAAATGTAAATCACGGTCAAGTGTGGTGGGCACACACCTTTGATCCCAGCACTCAGGAGACAGAGGCAGGTGGATCTCGGTGAGTTCGGGAACAGTCTGTGATACACAGTGAGACCCTCCAAACAGATAAATACATCAGTGCACGTGAGTGATGAATGAATGAACACTGTCAGCTCCCTGTGAGCTCCAAGCTGAGTCAGGTAACTTCTCTGAGCTCACTTTCCACACCCAGCCTTTAGACATCATTCTGCCTATGAAGCGCTTCTCTTTCCTACATATGGAGCCTTGTACTGGTCCCTACAAATTGTAACACAAATTGTAATGCTTTTTACCCACCTCAGGCATATACATAGAGAACAGCCTCTCTCTTTGATCCTCAATAAAGAAAATGTTAAATAGTCAGACATAGGGATGCAGAATAAAGAGAATGGCTGGTTTTATTTTCCATCTGTGAACCTGGTAGTATTTTAAAACTTTTTCTTACTTGTTCTACAAATATCTAGGCTTCTACTCATTTCTTAAAAAAAAAAAAGAAAAGAAAAGAAAAGAAAAAATCTCAGCTTCACATGGTGGCATAGCGTTATAATCCAAGCACTCAGGACTCTAAGTAATGAGGATTCCAAGTTCAAGCTACCCTGGGGAATAGAGTAAGATCCTGTCTCAAAACAAAAGAAATTCTTCATCAAAAACAAATTCTAACCAAGCATGGTGGCTCATGACTGCAATACCAGCAGTTGGGAGACAGAGGCAGGAAGATCAGGAGTTCAAGGTCAACCTCAGCTACACAGCAAGTTCCCATGCTACATGAGATCCTGTCTCAAACAAAAAGAGAATTAATGACAAAATTGGCATTGTAGAGTAGGAAAAAGTATCAGTTGCCAGAGAAAAATGGCAATATTTTGGGTATAGCATATTCAGAGTATTTCCCCCTTAGAACACAAAACAAAAAATTCAGTATGTGTGATTTTGTATCTTACTGTTTTCTCATTTACTACTGCTTTGAGGCCTCATGTTTTAACAGGAGTCATTCAAACTCTAGTCAGTAACATGACCACTCATTAGTCTGCTGTTGGGGAGTACTCCTTTACACTGTGAGAAGATAGGTCACAGTGACTGGTTTAATAGTAAGCTAAACAGCCAACAGCTGGCAGGATGTGGGGGGCAGAGAGAATGCTGGGAAGAAGGGCAGAGAAGCCAGACAGACACGGAACAAGTCAGACACACAAAATGGGATAGAGGTAAAAGCCACGTGGTAGAACATACATTAATTAAAAAAAAAGGGGTTAATTTAAGTTATAAGAGCTAGTTAGGAAGAAACCTAAGCTACTGACTGAGGTTTCATAATTGATAAGTCTCTGTGTCATTTATTTGGGAGCTGGCTGGCAGGACAGAGAAAGACTAGCTACAGTCTGCCTGAGAAGCACTGGCAGCCTCGCATCCATCACATCTTTAAAATAAAATGTATGCCTAGAGGCCAGAGTCCACATTGGTACTTCCTCAACTGTTCTCCATGGTGTGTTTTGAGTCAGGGGCTCTCACTGAACCTGGAACTCCCTGACGTGGCTAGACTTCTGGTCAGCAAACCTCAGGGAACCTTCTGTCTCTTCAGTACTGGGATTACAGGCACACCCAGCAGAAAGACACACACACTTGCAGAAAGACCCATGCCCTCGTTCCTAAACAGAAAGTGGGGGTGTGGTCTGCAGTTCTTGAAGGAGTAAAACAGAACAGAAGCCAATGTCAAGCTATGTGAGGGGTTTTAATTTTTGTTTCATTTTATGGTGCTCAAGGGAGACCTTGTTCTCATTTTTTAAAACTGGTACCGGTAAATCCTGTCACCCACTTTATGAAAAACGCCTCAGAATCGGTTCCCAGTGTCTGAATGCTGCGTGCAGCAAATAGTCACAAACGTGTTTCCTTGACTGTGCTTCATTTCAGAACGAAAATACGCCTCATGACAGATACTGGTTTCCTTCGCCACATGCCCAGCATTTCACAGAACAGACAGAACTGAGCCATCTATCGGGAGAGTCGGCTCCTGTATAACCATCACCATAAATGTACTTTCCCGGGAATGTTCTGTCAGGGACTAGAAGGCTGTAGTTCCCTCAAGACCCAGCCACTTATAATTAAATTATAGACAATAATTTTAAGTGACTTTTGAACCACGTCCTCTCATGTGGCTGCTGGGCTCTGCACATGGCAAGCATTTTCCTGACGGCCAACCCACACCTCTCCTGCTTTAACTGGTGTCAGCTATGATGGCCAAAAGCTCTTGGCTTGCAAGTTCTCCCTGGGGTCTGGAGGGCGTTTTAGCAGACAGACTTACCTGAGTTTCATCTGTGATCGCACCTCTCCAAACGCCAACTGCAGCAGTTCATTGTAGCAGGCCATGATGTTGGGGTTCTCTATATACCTCTATAAACAGAAAAAGAAGAACCTTTGATGCATGCCCCAAAGAAATTCTAAAAAAATCTTTTCAGAAACTTAAAAACTACTTTGTAATCATTAATGTACAAGAGAAGATGAGAGACAAAATTTAAATGTACCAAATTAACTTTAAAAATAGAAACACTAGGGTTCTCTGCTTATCTCCCAGTCACTTTTAAAGCTGACGTGAGACCGTATAGAAAGTTTATATTGGGTTTCCAAGTAGATTCTGGAATAACATTCTGTGCTCCAAGTCAGACAAGCTCCCTGCACACAAAGCACACTTGCACTTCTCACAGCTGTGGTTCAAAGAGGGAGGGAGTGCCTACTTGGGAAACATTTTCACTAACTGCCAAAGAGGCTGACTGGTGACCATCTGCAAGCAAGCGAGCAGGACAAGGCATGGGTCTGCCAGTGCCTCCTACTGCTGTGGACACGAAGCGTTCTGTATGACAACCTTTATGTCATGGAAATGTCCCACAACAGAGCAAAGGGCAGAGTTACACGAAAATGATCAATTCTACCATCGAAGAACACATTTCATGATGGTATCTTAGAAGTCACTACGTTGTCACATACAGTCGCCTCAGGGTATGCTCAGAGATGCACAACTCCCTTATATAAAATGGCATGGTGTTTACTTGTAAATGATGCTATCTTCCTGTATACTTTAGTGACCTCTAGAACACTTACACTGCCGAACACAGGTAAATGCTGTGCAAACAGCTGTTGTACTATATTGGGAACAATAACAAGAAAAGGTCTACACATGTTCACATGTGGAGCGTTCTTTCCTGAACACTATGGGTCTGCAATAGAGTCTACTGATACAGAACTGGCTAATGGAGGACTCATTGCTAGAGGTCCAAATGTAGCTTCATTCTGACAGAAAACACTTAAGAACATTGACTCACTCCTGTTTCTGAAAAGAGTTCTTTGCTCTTATCTGCACAATAAATGTATAGTAACTCTGACTGAGGAGGAAACTGAGGCCTAGGAGGCAGAGCCTCAGCAAAACACTATCTACCAAACCCAGCCAGATCAATATGGGACATGGGCTGTTTGAGGAGGCCCCTCTGCTACCAAGGTGATGGCAGATGTCCATGATCAGTGTCTTGTCTGAGTGACAAGCACTCTAGGTTTATGTGGACATGCCAGGTTCAAGCTTTAAAAAGCTGTATGATCCTAACCAGACACTTCCTGAGCTTGCCTCCTCACTTATAAACAAGAAAAGTAATGCTGTTCCTACCCACTACAGACCTCCATAAGGACAGAGATGGCAGGAGGAAGCACTCTGTCTACAAACTGTTGTAGGAATGAAAAGGTCAAGTAGTGGGCCTAGAGAGTTGGCTCCATAGTTAAGAGCACTGGCTGAGCTTCCAGAAGACCCAGTTTTGATTCCCAACTACTATATGGTAGCTAACAACCATCTCTAAGTCCAGTTGCAGGGGAGTCTGGCACCTCTTTCTGTTCTGCTGGCACCAAGCATGTATACGATGTGCACAGATACACATGCAGACAAAACACCCATAACACATAGATCAAAATAAAAAAACTTCAAAAAAGCAAAGCAAAGCTGGTGCAACCCCAGCAGGGAAGAGGTAAGCACTGAGGCCGGGGCATGATGGGTCTGCAGGCTTGAAGGCCAAGCCCTCCTCCCCCAGAGGTCAGAGATGACTTTCTAGCTCTCACCTCTTGACAGGGATGCAGAGCACTGGACCATCTGCCCAGAGCAGCCAGGACTCCAGGGGACACTCAAGATGGCTGCACATACAGGTGCCTACTGCTGAGTCTCCAGGGACAGCAAGAAGAGATCTCTGGGTACAGTGTTTACGCCACTCCATCAGATGGGGTGGAGGCCCTGAGACAGACAAGGATCACTGACTGCTCTGCAACTGAGGTCTTGGGATAAGGAATCATGTCTGTTTATTCACTTCAATAAACAGCCTCCCATGAAGTCAGATTTTTCACTGGATAAAAATTTTATGTATCTACCAAATTATTTTTACCTTCAATGTGCTGGGATTATAGGTATGCACCTCTACCTACATCTACACCCATCTATTCCCTCAAATGCCTTTTGATTTTGTTTGTGTTTCGGTGCTGGAAATCAAACCCAGGGCCTTCCACTCAACTATGTCCCCAACACCTATGGCCTCATCTACAATCAGCTGACTAAAATCCCAAGAAGCCTTTTGGTTTAAGAGAAACCAACAGATTAAAGGTGGAAGCAGAGGAAGAGGAGCCAGTGCGTGGGTTTCCCCATTTCCAGAATCACTGAACTAACTTCAGAAATTTCAAGTACACACAAAAGCACTGTAAAAACACATTCTTAATAGAACTTGGAAATGAGCATGCCAGTATATGGCACTTTATTCTATTTGGATGGCTTTGGGCAGGCATAGTTTTGAGACTAAGGATGTGAAGTGTTGCAGATTAGCAGACTACAAAGCCAAAACAAAGCAGCACAGAACAGGAACATTTTTTTTTTCTTCAAAATAATTGAAAATTTTTGCTGGACACCAAACTGAGGTAAAAGTTTCCCTTACTGAATTATTCCTGTACAACTGAGAAGTAGGTACATACCCTTGTGAAGCCAGCAGCAATGAAGGGCATTAAAGACACCTCCTCTTTGTCCCCCCTTCAAAGGAAGACGGTAAGGGTTAGGCAGTGTTCACTAGTTTATACAGTCTTCAACAGTCACACAACAAGTACCTCCATGGGAATCAGATATTTGTGTATGGAATTGAAAAGCCTTTCTGTTTCAAGTTCATCTTTAGTCTTCTGGACAGATATTATTATAATTTCTTTGGGAGGATAGGGGCTTGCTGTGTTACTCAGGCTGGCCTCAAACTCCTAGACTTAAGCCATCAATCCTTTTTCCTGGACCTTCTGAATACTGGACTACAGGCACTTGGCACTGCACCAGGTATTTTAATACTTAAATTACAAAGGTTATATTAACAACTGAACAGTGCCCAGAAATCTATTTAATATATAAAAGTATATATACTTAAACTATTATGTATTTTCCACTTCTAGAGGATAAAAGGACACAGAAGCATTTCTGTCTCTACTGATTATAAATAGTCTTTATTTAAGGACTTGCTCTTCTCCTTGCTCTAACTTGAGAAGAAGATGCCCTGCGTTTATATGTCACCCAGATCCTTACAAATCCCTAAATTAAAGGCCCTAGAAAGACACATCTGAAAAACCTTCACCCTTAAGAGAATGGAATTGTCTTATAGTTTGCTTGTAAGGGGCAGTTCAAAATCAGAAAACTACACCCAGGAGCAGAGCTCCCTCCCTTCTTCAAGCAAAGAAAAAAAACACAATGCTAAGGAGTAAAGAAGACCAGACTTCAAAGGGGGTCTGCCACAGGCAAGCCCTTATTTTCCCATCTGATAATAACATTACATTGACATCTGAGTTTCAATATTAAAAAAAAAAGTTTACCTGCGTACTACACCAACAATAACTGTGTTTTCTGAGAGTTTTGATGATCTGATAGACCTTAAAAAGACAAAAATTTAAATAATAAGTATAAAATATTTTATAATTTATAAAACACTTTTAAATATAAAAATTTCTTTAAAATAGATATACTTTCATAGTTTTAGTTGTACAGTTACAATTGTGGAGGGAAATGAGAGGGGAAGAACTCCATTCACACTCTGGAGTCACCTTCTTGGCTACTTGCTCTTCCCTTGGTGATAAACTCCTCATTAGTGGACTGTGATAACCATGACAATTATCACGTGCAAATGAAACAGCTAAGGTGCTGCACTTGATGCATTTACCTAGGTTAGTGTGGGGAGCAATCTCCCCTACACTGTGCTTATGTGAAAGGGGCCACAATCACTTCCTGCGGAAGGAGATGCAAGCATCCATGCACTCCACAGGCTCCTGCCTATGCAGACAGTGGAGATCAGGGCGGCCAGGAGCCAGCTTGTCACTGTATTTTAAGCAGCACAAAGAATAAAGAATTCTGAGATAAACTGGAGGAAAAAATCACACCACCACAAACTAAGACTAGGAAATACAAGATACTGTTGTCAGTCACAATGAAGAGAATCAGCACCTGTGATCAAAGATTAAGACAGTGGTTTGGTGGACACAAGTAGACGACATTGCCCCACTGATGTCACCCAAGGAGTGTGAGGGTCTCCACCCAACCAGGAACACAACCCTCAGGGGAAGCAGCTATATGGACCATGAGTGAGGACAATATAGCCAAGAGATCAGGGGAAGACATCCATGAGATGCAGAGGAGAGGGGAAAGGAACTCTCTGCTGGAGGCATACAACAGCCCTGAACTCATCTTCCACAAGAAGAAGGTAGAGCTGTCTAAAAAGAACCAGCCACTGGAGGAAGAAGCAGACAGGGCCATATGCAGGCTGTTCTAGTCAAGGAAGAACTATGCTGGCCTCTTGGAGGACATGTTCAGGATGGGACAGAAACCAGCCAAGGCTGACTACATTACCTCAGCTCTATTAGTTTAAAAAACAGCAACAACAAAACAGAGCTACTTCTGAATCACAGAACACAAAAATGATTTGGGTGGCTACTTCCCAATTCCCCCAGAGATGGTACATAACACAACTACTCTAGATGTCTGTGAGAGAGTTATCATATACAGGGGGTGCCCTGGTCCTGGCAGACTTTTCTGTAAAAAGCCAGAGAGTAACTACTTTAAGATACTTAAGTATCCATGTGGATTCTGTCCCAATTACCTACTGGTGATGATTCACTTTATGTGTCAACTTGACACAACCCATAATGTCCTGGAAAGAGAGTCTCAATGAGGGATTGTTTGCACCCGTTGGCCTACAGACATGTCTGTAGGGTTGTCTTTGTAAGTTAGCTGATGTGGAAGACCCAGCCCACTGTGAG